AGGAAGGGTGACTGGCACCTACAGGCTGTGGGGCTGGCACAGGCGGTCTATGGAGCTACATAGCTTGCACCCAAATCTCAAGGTTGAGCTTACCACCCAGGCTCACTTGGAACCCTCTCCAAGGAGTCATCACACGTCCCTCCCAAGATGCCGGAGAACCAGCGTCTGCCCCCCAGTCCTCCTGCCTTCCTGAGGCAATCCGGTTGCCCGCACCACATGCATTCTCAGAGGGCGGGCAGCACACGTGAAAACCAAGGTCATCTGCCCTTTGCAACCTTACTTCTTCCCGAGGAAGAAGGATGTATTTCAACCAGTGCATTTCAGCACAGTGGCCCGGCAGGCAGAGCAGAGATGGAGGCAGAAGCTTGGGAGCACACCGAACATCTTCCAAAGAATAATTTCCAACCATTGTGACATCTGTGAAGCTTCCCTAGAAATGCTTATTTTGTTTTTAACTTTCTATATAGATTTCAGGTTTTTTTTTTTAGATTTTATTTATTTATTTGACAGAGAGAGACAGCGAGAGCAGGAACACAAGCAGGGGGAGTGGGAGAGGGAGAAGCAGGCTTCCCACGGAGCAGGGAGCCCAACGTGGGACTCGATCCCAGGACCCTGGGATCATGACCTGAGCCGAAGGCAGATGCCCAACGACTGAGCCACCCAGCCGCCCTAGATTTCAGGTTTTAAAAAAAATTTCTTTCGCTTTTCTTTTGATGAGGAAGTACATTAGTTGTTGGGAGTCTACCAAACATAACTTACAGCAGTCTCATACCAAGGAATTAAACAGGAAAAAATAAAACAGAGCAAAACTCTCTTATGTCCTTTGTGTGAAAAACATTTACTTCCTCTGGAAAAGAAGGCACTGTTGTTCACTCAGAGGCCCTCCCACGAGTCCCTCCACCCATGGCCACAACAGATCATTTTCAAAAGAAAACTATTAAAAACTCCAATAGTTCCACACGCCAAAAGTGGAAGGGAGATGCAAAACAGGCTGCAGGATGGAGACCTCAGACCTGCGGGGCTCCGGGGCCAGAAAGGGGCAAGTGGCTGCAAATGCGGTCCCTGAGGAGTGAAGGTCTAACACTGCCCACAGGAAGTGGGGGGCAACAGCCCAGAGCATCACCTGGAATCAGAGCTGGGGCAAGTCTCCCACTTCTATGGCAGGAAGTTGAGAAAGAAAATAGCCTTCTGTGGCAATTACCTAAGGATGACAAAGAGGATGGACCTGGGCATTGCTGGCTCCGTGATTGCATCGGCACTTCTCAGTGGAGGGCTGTGCGACAGTCCTGAGCACCCGGGGTAACACACATCACTGCCACAGAGCCCCAGAAGGCTGAGCCCGGGGCCCTGCAAGCTGAGACACAGGGAGGGGTGAGCAGAGAGAGAAAACGGGACACAAACCCCTTGCTTAGGGTGAGCCTGCAAGCTGCAATTCCAAAGCATGTTCCTCTAGGAAGAAAGAGAACAAGATCCAGAGTCAGCGGATGAATTCATCCCAGACGAAAGGGAAACAATACAGCAGCCTGAAAACTAAAATAAAAGAGCAGACTTTAAAATAACTATGTTTAAGATTCTCATGTTGGATAGAGAGAAAATGGCAACAAAAACTTAGATTATATAACAAAAACTTGAAAAAAATGAAATAAGAACCAGTACAACAGAGAAAATTAGAAACGAGAAATGATATCATTAAAAAAAAAAACCCATCCCTGTAGATGACACAGACTCTAAGTGGACCCCAGTGGAGGCAGATTTCCTTGTGGGGAGCACAGGTAAAAAACAAGAAGAGCCCTTTGGGGACACGGAAAGAACAGATGGAGTGGCTTCAATCTAGTCCCTCCCCAAAGACCCAGAATCCAGGAATCGAGGTCGGGGTGCAGACCACAGAGAACATTCCATGTGAGGACAGAATGACTGCCATGTCCAGGATTGAAGACCGAAGATCTCAGACAGGAAGTGCACATCAAGTGCCAAGCAGCATAACTGAAACGCAGTCCGCACTTAGACTTACTGTAGTGAAATTTCAGGACATCAAGGACACAGAAAGAATAGATCTCCTTCACCAAAACGGCAGTTGGTGAAGCAATTAGCAATAACGGCATTAGCAATAACGGCATCCAGAGAGTCCTGTCTATAAAATTCTGATAGAAATGAACTGCCAGCATGGGATTCTAGAGCAGTTAACCATCACCCAGGAGTGAGATCAAAATGAAGACTTTTCAGAAGAATCACCCAACCAAGAAGCCTCTTGGTTTCTCCCCTTTCCAACAGGCATGTCTGTAGCCCCCATACTGTGCCTGTCCTGCCACCGCGGAGCACCTGGGAAGCTGCTCTGAACTTCTCGCCTGCCCTCTTGGGGCGAACCTGTAACCATATAGACAAGTATTCAGCCCAGAGGTTCCCAAAACCTCTGCTCTGCGCAGGAGACATTCCAAGGGCAGGCAGGTGCTGGGTTCACCAGAGACCACCCCGTTCTCACCCAGTGCGTGAGACTGGGTCACTGAGTCCCCTGTGATGACTTCTCTCCCTGCGTGTTGATGGACATTGTCTTCCGACCGACTTTCCACTTCACCAACACTCTCTTCAGCTCTAGGTAATTTGCTAGTAACCAATCCATTTTTGTTATTGTATTTTTCGTATCCAGAATTCCAATTTGATTCCTTGCTATAATTTCTAGTATCACTGCTTCCTTGAACACGTTAATCCTAATTATTTTAAAGTGCATGCTTGCTGATTTCATTATCTGGACCATCCACAGGTCAGTTTCTGTTCTCTCTTGCTCTTCTTGGGATTTGATCACGTGTTCATGTTGCCTTGTGTGTGATGCACATTACCCATTTTAAAACCATGCAGATAAATTGAGATCTAAGATGGTATTTTCTTTCCTTCTAGAAAAGACTGACATCTGCTTCTGGCAGGGAGCCAGACACCCAGCACCCCAGGTCACCTTAATGCAATCAGGGTCTGCCGTGATCCGAAGCTGAGCTTCAGGCCCCACAAGGTTTGGTGTTTTTCCAGTTCACTCTTCCTAGAGCCCAGCATTTTGGGGCCCCAACCCAAAGTCTGGGTGTTTGCTAGACCCTCCCTCTCTGTAGTGGTCTCAGAAGAACAATTTATCTCTTTGGTCTTTGGTCTGTTGGGACCAGCTACTGTTTGCTCAGTAGCTGAACTTTCTACTGCCTCTCCCAGATAGAAAGGTGCTCACTGGGGAAAAGCTCACCTTTCAGGAATTCTTCACTCCCTTGTTTGTGGAGGGGTTGGTCATAGGGACCTAGTGTGCCATCTCCTAGCAGAAACCGAGAGTGATCTTTTACAAGGTGGACCTTATCTTGGGAGTCTGTGTAAAGCTCTTCAGTGGCCCTTGGGGCGATACTCTGGGCAGCCTGCCCAGTGAGCAGTATTTCTAACAGTGACACCAATTTAAGTTCAGGTACTGTGGTGGCTTTGTGGTATGTCAACTTGTCTAGCCTCAACTACCACCTCCCCCCCCCCCCAATTCCCTTTCCCACAGGGTTTCCCAACTGGGCCACTAGAGGCATTTGGGGTGAGATTTGGTGTATGGGGGGGGGGGAGTAGCTGCAGCAACGTTTTCACACCAGGTCAGGGTGGTGCCCCAGGTGTGGCCATAGCTCACATCTGCTGGCTCGCCTCCCTCGTGGGAGGCAGGCGTGTAGCTGCTCCCCGCCCCTCAAGGCCTGTTGGCTTCTCCAGCTCCGGGTAGCCGAGCGGGTGGTTCTGTGATGAACGCTGCCAACTTCTTCCGCAGGAGGTCCACGGCCCAGTCCTTTCTTGCGGGCTCCAGCTCGTCTTCACCTCCCCCACCTCCCCTCCAGCTTCCCTTCCCCACAGCCGGCTCTGCACACCCGCAGCGGCTGCAGCACCAGCCCTAGAGGGACAGCCTTCAGAGGCCGTCCAGCCAGCCGCCCTCCCTCCACGCACAGCTCCCCGAAGGACGTCATCCCCAGGGGTTCCGCATTTGCCTGGCGTCCACCTTCCTCTCCCGGGCGCTTGGTCAAGGGCCCGGCCGCAGAGGGAATCCTGCTTGGCCCTGGCCCCCGTGTGGCTCTCATTTCCCCTCTGGCGGCTGGAAGCAACTCTGACCGAGGGGCGCCCAAAGGCCACCTGGCGGGCTGCCGGGAGGACGCTGCCTTGGGAGAGGGGCGGGGGGTGCGGTGGGTGGGCGTCCGTGTGACGGCCGCGATCCCGGGCAGCCAGGGTCCGCTGGGGCAGACGGCGAGCTCAGGCCCCTGGGAGGGCTCCCGGGCCCTGGAGGCCGGGGCTCGGCCCGGAGGGCGCCCCGCCCTGGCCCTGCTCGCTCCGGCGGCCCGCAGGGGCCTTCCTCGTGCACGCGTCTCTCCGGACTGAGGCACACGTGTCCCTGCGTGCGTCACCCACCGGCGGGCACAGGAGGCCAGAGGCGACGCCGACACGCGCCGGGCAGGGAGTCGGCGGCCGCGGCAGGGTCCGCATGCGCAGGCGCACCACGCTCTCCGCGGCTGCGCGCCCCCCGCGCGGCTCGGCGCCTCCGGGACCCCGTAGGGGCGTCTCCATGGCGACCGCGTGGGCTCGGCGGGCGGCGTGGTCGGGCCGCCCCTCTCGGCGTCCGGGTGCTCGCGGAGCCCGGAGCTGCAGGCGCGGTGGGCGCACCGGGGCGGGAGGGCGCCGCGCGGGGGCCCGGAGCCCGGGCAGGCCGCAGA